CAAGAGAGACGGAGAGAATCTCACAGACTGAAGCAGCCAAATGGAAGATGCATTTTTGTTCCACAGGGTATCATCTGTATCAGCTGTGCCAAACGGGAAGCCTCCCTCCGGCTGAGCTCGTAGGAGACCTGCTGAGATTGTCTCAGCTGGAAGCCACCTTTGGCGCCTATTACGGTGCTGCAGCTGTGTTAATAATCTTTGGCGACTCCTTTGTTTCCAATTTTGAGTCTGAAATGTGCAATCCGCAGAGGATATGAGCTTACTTCTAAATCCCCCTGGATGAATGTTCTGTATCTTAATAAATTATTTGTGGAATATAAAACCTTGTTATAAATTAAGGCCTCTGCTCCGATATGTGTGTGTGTGTGTGTATCTTGGAGAATGCCAAACGGCTTTCTGGAGGGCTCATATATTTTGTATGCTTTTAGGTTGCATTCATCCAAATGGAGTGGCCTGATTTGGAGTGCATGCAAAGGCACAAAAGGACAGGGAACCAAATCAGGGATGCAGACCCTTGAGCTTGTACCCTTGGGTTTTGTATCTGGGAGAGTCTATGTGCCACTTCCATTCTTTAGGGATGAGTCAGTTCCACAGCCATAACTTTGACTTGTTCTTCCCAAGATTTTCCCTGTCACCGAAACATTCTTCCTAGCATTGGCAATATGTTGAGAGATGCTCTTGGCTCTGAGATGCTCTTATCTAAGCCCTGCATTTCCCTGCCAAGGATGATGCTGGTGAGCACATTTGCATCATGTTGCACATGGCTGCATAGTGAAGACTGCATAATGTGAATGCATGTTCATGCAAACTGTAGTCCCATAAGACACATGTCTGCCTTGGTACATGAGCCAGTCAGACCAGCACAGGTTCTGAGTTCACCTTTCTCAGTTTATGAACTTATTACTATCTTACCCCAGATTAGGGATAGGCAAATCAGCTTGGTGATGTCACAAATGTGGAAGGCTTTTGAAAGCAGATTTTAAAAATCCATGGAGGATAAGACTATCAATGGCTACTAAACTTGACAGCTGAGTACCACCAACTGGACTAGGGGTGGTATGTCTCAACATTCATTTCTAGGGAAGAAGAAGAAGAGTTTGGATTTGATATCCCGCTTTATCACTACTCGAAGGAGTCTCAAAGTGGCTAACATTCTTCTTTCCCTTCCTCCCCCACAACAAACACTCTGTGAGGCGAGTGAGGCTGAGAGACTTCAAAGAAGTGTGACTAGCCCAAGGTCACCCAGCAGCTGCATGTGGAGGAGTGGAGACGTGAACCCGGTTCACCAGATTACGAGTCTACCGCTCTTAACCACTACACCACACTGGCTGTTCCACTCCTGTCTGGTTTGAGGGCTTCCCATTGGCATCTAGTTGGTCATCGTGAGGACAGAATGTTAGACTACTAGACGGGCCTTTGGTTGGATCAAGAAGGACTCTCCTGATATTCTTAAATCTGTTTCCAGGTTACTGTTACTTTTAGTGATGTGTTCTTACAAATTGACTGATAAGTCAATTGTGCCTCATTTTTTTGCATCAATCAATCAATCAATCAATCAATCATTAATAACAACAATAATACTTGCACAAAAAGGCAAGAGGCAGTGGACAGCTAAGATCCAATCCCCTTTTGTATCTGGGATATCCAAATCAGGCCTGCTCATATTTTGGAGTTTGCAAAGATCAAATTCCTCCAACATCCGTACTGCAGGTCACCCCAAAGGCAGCAGGTTGTTCTAGGCTAACTCTAGTCAACAGCCTAAGGGTGAGGTGAAGGGCACCAAATTCCACAACACAGGCAGACAGGCAAGCTATTCCTTGTACAGTGGAATTGTGGGATGTAATCCATTGGTGCAGTCAAGTGCAACATTCCTTATTTCCCTAGAGTGGACACAGGCAGGGGGACATCCAGTGAGTATAACTCCCTTTTCCATTCGTCTGGAGCTTCTCCTCCTGCATGTGACCTGGGAGATGCACCTGGCTCTAGCTGACTCCATAAAAGAACCGAGTCATGCAGCCATTTTCTCAGTTGCAGTTTTGTCTTGATTTCTGTCTTATTCTCTCTCTTGTCTTGCTGCCATGCTGCTCTCCTGCAGCCATTTTGTTATCTCAATGTAATTTTGCTGTCTGCTGGCTCTCAGCCAGCAGCACATGAGTTCAGCCTCCCTATGAGATGAACTCACAGTTTATTGTGTAACTATTAAGAAAAGCCTGCCTTTCAGGAATCATATCGTGAACTGACATGTGAGTAAACTTTTTGTTACTTTACTCAGAAAGTAACTCTTGTGTCTTTATTCTTTTAAGAGGTGTCAAAGGGGACACCAGGAAATAATCTTAACTAAGAGATTCACATGAATCTGCAAACTAGCTTCCAGCTACATTGAGGGGAATTTGCTCTGCTACATCACTCACTAGTGTGAGAGAAGGAAGGATAATACTTATTCAATATATCCTTCCCTATCATCCTTAACATTCCCACAGGAATTGCATTCTGCACACACTCTGCGGCACTCCCAGCTCTACATGCTGGAATGTTGGGAAAGAAAATATTGCAACCAAGGTGAAATGGGGTGAAATACTAGGAGTTGCCCGGGGGGGGGGTGAGCAGGTGGTAGACTCCATTGCTCCATCTCCCACCCAGGCAGAATGTTATGTTAGAAGGCAACCCATGTTTGATTTTGCCACAATTGCATATTTGAAAGATGCAGCACAAAGAAACCTCCAAAAAAATGCTCTCTCATGGCTGGCCCCCAAGCGAGCTTGTCTTGTTTTTGCCCACATTTGAGATGTTAAAAGTTATGGGGTGGCGAGCGGGGGAGGTGACAGCCCTAGATACGAAGGCTGCTATCAGATGGGGCATTTTTCAATTTCTGACCTGTCTGGAGCCTGAAGTGAAAATCTGCTCAGAAAACATCAGACTCGAAACAATAAATGGCCGTTACTCTGAAATGAGGTATTGATGGCACGGTTTATATGCACCAGAAATATAACTCCATCAGCCTCAGTTATATTTAGGTTCCAAATCTTCCCACCTTCTGTTGTTTACCCAGCACTATTGAGAACCTCGTTAAAAAAAGAAACCGAGAATTATCCAGGCTTTAAAAGGAGGTTTTACAAGATGCCGCTGGTGGTGCTGTGTGTCAGAGAGAGAATCTCAGTATATTCTCTGCTGCACGGAAATGAAAAGAATTCATTACCCATCCTGCTAATCATTAGAAGGTCAATGGATGTCCAACTCATAATGCATATCACTATATTATTTTGGCATATGTTAGAGGCTGCCCAGCTCCCTGTGTCACCTCAGAAGTTGTTCTGCGGTCTTTGGAGAGCTTGTGTAATAAAGGTGGTCAAGGGTCAGTTCACCCAACATCCTTTGAATCAGGTGTCACATGTTCAGAAGCCTTCGGTTGATTGTAGCAGCTGCGGCTGATAGCTGCTACTGGCACCGACAGAATTTCCTCTTGTAGGCATCATAGTGCCAGCCCTTCCACTCGCCTACTCACCATCTGGCAAAGCCTGACATCTTGGGGGAAGGCAGGAATAAGGGGCATAATTCCCATTCACTGTGTCTTACTTGTTCCTCTCTGCTGAAACGACTCCATCACAAATGTTAATTTACCCATGCATCCCTCTTTATTCCCTAGCCATCGAAGTGAGTAGCATTATCAGAGTTCAAGGGTACTGTTCGATGCCACCCCAACCTCCAAGCAGGGCAAGAATCCAAGGGTTCCAGTGCTTACTCGAGTTTCTGTTTCCTTGGAATGGAGGTCAGTGGAGACGGTGGCCTCTTTAGGATTTATGGTCTTATTTGCACACATATACAACCTGAGAGTAAGATGGAGGATCTCACAGCATTAACCCACCCCAAAGATCTTGGTTTTTACAGGGGGTACTGAAAGCCTAGCACACAGTAAACATACCTCTCTCTCGAGCTTGCAGTCTGCTTCCATCTCTCTCACACAACTCTGAATAGTTTTCTCTTGCATATCAGCTAGCTAAAGGGAGGCAGAAGGCCCACTGTGGCGTTTGCCCTGCTAGGTGTGTGACATCATACTGGGTTCATAGGGAAAGGGTTAACTAATTGTAAAATGACTAACCAATGGGAACGCAGGGGGGAGAGTTAACTGTGTATAAGGTTTAAGCACAGAGGGGTTTTTTTGAGGAGAGTTAGGGTTAGGGTGGTTGAGAAGACAGTCTGGAGTTAGAAGAGACAGATAAGTCTGTGGGTTGGGCTAGTCTGGGGTGAGAGAGTGAGAGAATTTGTTAAGAGGAGTCAGTCAAACAGTTGAGATAATCAGTCAGAAGGTATTAAGAAGGTATAGGCCGGTAAAGAAACTAAAGTTAAGGTACTGACAGGAATATTATCAGAGAAACCATAAACTTGTTAATGTTTGTAAAATAAACTTGTTTTTTGGGTTCACTGTTAACAACTGTCTGGTCTCAGTGTTTTACCCGAGAGTAACGGGTTGGTGGCAGCGGGGAAGCGAGCACAGTGGTGGCACAGGGATCAATAGACCGTTAAATGTCCAGGGACCCTGTGTGATCGCCACACCCACCCATTTGTTCTACAGCATAGAGCAACTTCTTTGTCTCTGCTCAAGGTGGCCAAAGCTATTGCTTTCGGAAAGAAGCTGGTTTGGAATGCATGCTTTTATACATTCTACCCCCACAAATTCAGGATCCCAAGAACTAAAAGAGACTTGGCGAATTATCCAGACCGACCCACCCAAATTCATAGCAGTAACTCCAAGCCAGGCAAGAATACTCAAGCAGGGTGTAAAGCAAAGTTGGGATAGCCTTCAGAGAAAATGATGTGACAAGGTGTGTGTATGGGCTTCAGAAGCATCCCAAGACACATGTAGGGTCACATTCTGCTCCTGGGCCTAAGGCTCCCCATCCCCGATTCAGCATATGATGGTGGGAGGTCTGGACAAGAGCACTCCCTTTAGAAGCCTGAGCTATGGTTCTGCAATGCATATTCTTGGTCTACTAGCAGATACATTACTGAACAGCATAAAACTCCCCACCGGTTCCCTCCACAATGCAACGCTTGCCTTTCCATATAATTTCTTTATGTTTATTGCTCTCTGTGTGGCTGTCTTCTGTCGGTGCCAGCAAAGGCTGCCACGGTTTCTCTCTGCCCAGAAGAAATAAACTTAGATCTAAAAAAGAGAGAGAGAAAAGTGTTTTATAGGCCAAATAAATTACAAGTGAGTCTTGCAGATAGTTGCTAGGCAAATTGATTTCTGTGTACAAATGTCCTTTCCTTGATTTGTTGATAAAATTTTAATGTTCCACATGTAAAAACTACTTAAACACACTACTAGGGCATGAACAATTTATTCTCGCAATGGTCAATCCCTCTGCTTTCTTGCTGTTTATCGCTTGCATTTCGATGGGGCAGGGAGAGTTTCTAGAATGATACTGCAAACAGAACAGGTCAGGCACGTGAAAAGCAAACTGTTTAACTTGTGTTGTTGTTTTTTTATACACATTTGCAAGTGGGAAAAGCATGAATATTTATGCCACGGTAAGCAATTTATTCCTTATTATATAGTGTGAGGAGAAGAACTAGGGCCAGCACTGGAGGGGTACTATTCTGTACAATGTGCAGTTTACTTTTAACAGGGCAGTTTGTTTCAAAATTGGCTATCACCTCTGGCTCCAACTGCGTTGGACCCTCCTTGCTTCCTGCTGCCTCCATTAACTCACTGCGGTTCCATGAGCTGCTAAAAAACCCAAAGTTCTTGCACTGCTCCTGGAGAAGGGAGGGCTATGTAAAATCATAGGATTGGAAGAGGCACAAGGGTCATCTAGTTCAACCCCCTGCAATGCAAGAATCACAGCTAAGGAATTCTTGTCGGATGGCCATCCAACCTTGATTTAAAAACATCTAATGAAGGACAAACCACCACCTTTCAAGGTAGTGCATTTCACTGGCAAACAGCTCCTACAATCAGAAAGTTCTCCCTAATGTTGGGTCACAATCTCCTTGCATGTCCATCGAATCCATTGGTTTGGTTCCTCCCCTCTGGAGAAGCAGAAAATAAGCTTGCTCCATCTTCCATGTAAAAGCCCTTTAGATATTTGAAGGTGGTGGTTTTCCCAGTAGTGATGTATGGAAGTGAGAGCTGGACCATAAAGAAAGCTGATCGCCGAAGAATTCGTGCTTTTGAATTATGGTGCTGGAGGAGACTCTTGAGAGTCCCATGGAGTGCAAGAAGATCAAACCTATCCATTCTGAAGGAAATCAGCCCTGAGTGCTCACTGGAAGGACAGATCCTGAAGCTGAGACTCCAATCCTTTGGCCACCTCATGAGAAGAGAAGACTCCCTGGAAAAGACCCTGATATTGGGAAAGATGGAGGGCACAAGGAGAAGGGGACAATGGAGGACGAGGTGGCTGGATAGTGTTCTCGAAGCTACCAGCATGAGTTTGAACAAACTGCGGGGTCCAGGGGGTCACGAAGAGTCGGACACGACTAAATGACTAAACAACAACAACAGCAAAATCCTATCATCTCTAAGTCTTGTCGTCTCCAGGCTAAGCACACTCAATTCCCTCAACCATTAATCCATTTCTAGGTGAGGCTAGAGGGATGGAGTTTGCCCATTCCAGTGGTAGACCTGGATAAAGAAATGGAATGTGATTAGAGAGCAGAGGATGTTCAAGGTATGTGTGTGTGTGTGTGTGTGTGTGTTTCTCTCTCTGTGTGTGTGTCTGTGCATGCAAGTCATCTTATCAGGCCCTCAGGGACAAGGCAAAACTGGTCTGATGCTAACAATTCACTCAGCTTTATAGAACTAAAGTGCCTCATTCAGTGGGGCTTTCAAGATATCCTTTGCTCAGTTGCATTCCATTACTCTCAATTATGCTTTCCCACCAGCTCTAAACAATCCTCTCCTCTTTGTTATTGATGGTCTTGACAGCATCCTTGTCTGGGGAGCCTGCCCCACTTCACCTTCTCCGCTGATTCCTTTGTGTCCTGGCATTAAATGCAAAGCAACAGTGAGGCAGGATGGCAACAAGTGAGGTTTTATTGGTGCTCCATTCAGAGAACAAGGTTAAGATGACATTTCTCTCCCAAGTATCCCATTTTATGATCGGCCATTAATTGATCACGGTAGAGAGGACGTTACAGTCAAGTGGTGGAAGGTGTTACCTACTGGAGCATTCTCCTGCAAATTGGCTGAAGCTGTTTCTGTTTACCTTCTGCCCAGTAGCGTCCCATCATTCATTAAGGGGGAACAGGGCAAGGATTAATGGCAACCTGTTCCCCACTTACGCCAGCACCCACCCCTCAAAAAATATTTGTGCTGCTTTATATTTGCAGCAAATGACTCGTTACGTTTAAATGGGCAGAGGCTGTAATTTTTGATTCATCTCTTAGGAAAACTGTTATTTTGTTAAGTGGTAAGAAAGAAAAATGCAACCCAAATATGTTTAGATACTTTGTGGATACAGAAGAGGGAGGGATGATGACTGATCAAGGCATGCTAGATCAAGCAAGCACTTTACAACGTTGGTTGGGAAATAAATGTGCAGGGAGACTTTCTTTGAAGGAGAAGCGTGGCTGTTGAACCTGGCCACCAAACCAAGTTCAAGATCTTCATATTAATTTACAAAGCCCTGAACAACTTAAGTCCAGGGTGCCTTATGGATGTGATGAACCCTTATATCCCAGGTTGATCAATGAGCTCATCTGTAGGAGTGTCATTGGTTGTTTGCTGAGTTGCCAAGTCTCATTTGCCAACAAGAAACCAAGCCTTTCATGTCATCAGACCAGTCCTATGGAGTTGCGTGGCAATTCCCGCCTCCCACCAGTTGGAATAAATAAAGACACAGGACACCATAATTTTAGGTTAATGGGCAAAAATGGCCACAACTTTATTGGTTACAGGTAAGAGTGGTATTGGCTTTAGGCATTGGTCCTATCAGACTATCCGGCATGAGAACCGGAAAGGGTTAACACCAGCAGGGGGAGCCCCTGAGATGCACATCCCTAGGCACTCCCCGAGGGGTCACCGCTCGGGGGGGGCGCTTTAGGCCCTAGCCTCCATAGGTTTCAGACGAGGCAACGCCCCCCAGAATCCTTTACCGGACTACCCTTAAATATTTGGGGGAGGTGATGGCGCTCTCCCCCAACTCATCTGCATAATAATACCCCTACCAATGCCTAACCGCCAAACCAAAGGTGTTGTGATGATTTGCTACGAGGTAGGCGAAAAAACAAAATGGCTTTAGGGGAGTTCACGGGCTGCACCGACCTTAAATGACCCAGGCCCCGCCCCTGCGGCCAGCCGATTGGCTGGCCCTGGGGCTGACATGCCCTGAGGATTCCCCAGGTGTTGGGGGCGTGGGCCCGCAACTCCACCCCCTCCTTATGTCGGGAGTGGCTCTCTCTACCAACAGAGATTCAGCAGGTGCCTTCTGTGCAAACTTTTAAACTGAAATCTTTCCTATTCCACCAGGCCTATGCAGGCAATTAAGAATGCCTCCTTCCACAATTGTTTTTTTTTTTTAAATTTTATTAAGGTTTTAGACAATAAAAAAGAGGGGAAAAAACATACACAATACATATAACAACAACACACACAAAAAGCAACACAAAATTCAACAAAAAAAACAAAAAAAACATAACAATTAAAAACAATATCTCTTTTCCATTTCCATTTTTAAATTACTTACTTTCTGGACTTCCTCATACCTCCTCTTTTTGTATTCCAATCCAAGTTATTTGTCCAGCAGTTTCTTTTCCACTTTTTAATCCCAAACTTTAATTTAATAAAATATTAAAATATATAACTTCAACTTCTTTAAACCTAATCCTTGGTCTTAGTATCATATAACATTAAAATTTTCCCTCTTAATATCAAATTTCCATTTCTTTAAACATCTTTAATCTTAATCTTAATCTTAGTCTATCATTAACTTTAACCTGTACAGCTGGAAACCACTTATTTTCAATCCAACATCGCTCTAACATTCTTTAATTTTGCAGTGTTTCTGAAGATAGTCTTTGAATTTCTTCCAATCTTCCTCCATCGACTCTTCTCCCTGGTCACGGATTCTACCAGTCATTTCCGCCAATTCCATATAGTCCATAAATTTCATCTGCCATTCCTCCAGCGTGGGAAGTTCTTGTGTCTTCCAATACTTTGCGATGAGTATTCTTGCTGCTGTTGTTGCATACATAAAGAAAGTTCTATCCTTTTTAACACCATTTGGCCGACCATGCCCAGGAGAAAGGCCTCTGGTTTCTTAGGGAAGGTATACTTAAATACCTTTTTTAATTCATTATATATCATTTCCCAGAAAACCTTAATCTTTGGGCACGTCCACCAAAGGTGGAAAAATGTACCTTCAGTTTCTTTACATTTCCAACATTTGTTATCGGGCAAATGATAGATTTTCGAAAGCTTGACTGGGGTTATGTACCACCTGTATATCATTTTCATAATATTCTCTCTTAAGGCATTACAAATTGATGACTGATTTTAACTTTCCCCGGGTTTTTATTATATGGCTTTATGTCTGGTTGTTGTAAACTGCTTTGGAATCTCCTTACTTGTAATCTGAATCTGTTGGTTCAGGGACTGTCCCTCTAGAGCATCAACCTTAACCCGGCTAGTGTAACCAATGGTCAGGGGGATAATGTAGTCCATATGGACACCATATTGGGAAAAAAGCAGCTATGGAGTATTTATAGGGTTTCATGTGCCTTGTGTCAGTAATCCCCACAACACTGCTCTTTGTGATTTTCCAATTCCTGCTGCTCACAACATATTTGTATTATAAGTGTTTGAGCTTGTTCCTCTCTCCTCTGTACCAGTCCATTTCCTTTTTATACCGTGTCTCTTAGACTGTGAGTCTTACCGATGTTTGTAAGCTTCTATGGGAGATTTTTCTTGGGGGCGGGGGCAGAACGGGATAAAAATGCCTAATGATAAATAAGTAAGAATATCCTTCTAAGACAGAATAAACAACCCCCTCCCCAAAAGAATGTAATGGGGAGGCTGAGCTTGAGAGATGAAAATTGCTGAAGGCTATGTTGCAATTTCATAGTGGAGGTGAGATTCAGCTGGGATTTGCTAGTTCACAGCTCCAGCTCTCAGCTGCGACACTACAGGATCTCGAAAGCCAAGAGGTATCGATTCCTCTT